GACCACTGGAGCACACCTATAATCCCAGCACTCAGGAGGCTGAGGCAGGAGGATCTCTGTGAGTTCAAGACCAGCCTGGGCTACCTAGTGAGTTCCAGGTCAGTCTCAACTATATAGTGAGACCCTGTCTCAAAAAACAAAGGCTGAGGCAAGGATCTCTGTGAGTTCAAGACCAGCCTGGGCTACCTAGTGAGTTCCAGGTCAGTCTCAACTATATAGTGAGACCCTGTCTCAAAAAACAAACAAATAAACAAACAAAAAATACAAAGGACCAACTATATGTGTCATTATTAATGTGCAAATTTCTCAGGCAAGTTCAGGGAAAAGAAAGGCCATAGAAGCTGTGGGACTAGGAGTGGTGAAGGTCCCTTAAATAAAGGGGACCAGGGAGGTCCTGGGGCAGGGGCCTCTCTCCTGATCACCAAGGTCAGATAGGGGCAGCAGGCTCCCCTTAAATGTTACCCTACATGTTGGGAATTTTACTATGATAAAAAGTTTTTAATCATCTAAGATTCGGTCCTTATCCAGTCAGCTGAAAGGAGTGGAGATAACCCTAGGAGGGGACCCTTGATTGACTTATGTTAAGAAGCAGGACTGGCAGTCCTTGGAGCTCCTCCCTGTGGCTGGGGACCTGAGAACATCCTGAGCACCAGACCTCCAGCCTTGCTGAGGCAGGAAGCCAGGCACCTGAGAAAAGCCAGGTGGAGGGGTTAGAGAACCCCTCAGCCCCAACAATCAGCTCAGAAACAGTCCCTGCAGGCAGGGAGATCTGGTCCCACCCCCAAATTCCCAGCTCTTACAGCCCCAGAACAGGGTGGGAGCTCCTTGGGTCTCTATCCTGCCCCTGCAGACCCAGACCAATAACTCTTACATCTCTCTCTCTGAGCTCCATCATTCCCAACTCAGCAGGAGTAGTGTGGTCCCTCTGTGCCTGCAGAGACAGAGATGCCATAAAACTGAGCATCTCTCTCTCCTCCTGGCCACTGAGGCAGGTAAGGAAAGAGCTACTGCTATTTCCCTCTTCACATGGGAGAGAACTGGTGCTCCAGGAGGAGGCTTTCCAGGTTGAGACCGGCTGGGTGCTGTTGGGGCTTCTTCCCTCCACACAGCTGCCTCCCCAGCAGAGAAGAGAGACAACAGCCCACGACCCCATGCCAGAGGCAGAGGAGTCAGAAGTTAGATCTCAGTCTGGGCCCACACGTAAGACCTGGTGGCAGAGTCTGGCTGCTTTGCTCAGCAATGGAGCGTTTCTAAAAGTAGGAGACTTTTACATAAACACTCAGCTCTTTTAAATAAAGATAAGGGTTTTTTGTTTTCTTTTGTTTTTGTCCAATTAGAAACTCCAGCAGCCTGGGCTTGCACTCTGCTCTCATCAGCTGGGCCTGAGGGTAGCAGCTCCCATTGGATGGGCCAGGGCTCAGCATGTACCCTGGCCACAGCCCTCCCTGGCCTGCCTTATTCCTTGAATCTCAGCCCTGGCTCTAATGAGCTCCAGGACCAGCTCCCACTTTATTCTCTCTGAGCAGGATGTGAGCTTGATGGAATAAAGGCAGTGGATTCTGGAGGCTGCTGCCTGGGTTCAATCACCAGCTCTGCCATTTAAGAGCTGCGTTACTCCCTGTGCTTCCTCCTCTGTAAAATGTGGTGGCAAGAACAGTAGCCTCCTCCCGGGCTGCTCTGAGGATGGATGTGCTCGTGTGTGTAAAGCACAGAGGTCTGGATGCTCCCCTCCCGGGCCCCATACTGCCCGTCCGAAGTCAGGGCCTCACCCCTCAGTTCCAGCTCCACCACGCCACTCTCATCCTCCAGCCCATCGATGACCTCGCAGCGGTAGCGCCCCGAGTCCTCGGGCCGCAGGTCCTGCAGCTCCAGGGAGGCCTCCCGCTCCCCATCCTGCCGCAGGTGCGCGCGGCCGTGATAGTCCCCGAAGGAGCGGCGCCTCTGCCCGATGGCCACCAGCACGTCCTGCTCCGGGGCTCCATTCTCCGACAGCTTCCACCATTTGATGCGCACGGGCCTTGGGGACGCCAGGGCCGGCTCGTAGTGGTAGCGGCAGGGCAGGGTCACACTGGCGCCTCGGTGGGTGAACAGGGTCTCCTCAGGCGTCTCCACCACCAGCTTCACGCCATTGAAAGGGCCTGGAGGTGAAGGGGCACAGAGGGGCCCTGCCACAGCCCACCTGGGCTGGGCATAGCCACCCACACTCACCCACAAGGATGAGGCACCCAGTTGCCTCCTCCCGAATGCTGAGCTGTGGACTTGTGCATTAAGATAGGGTCTATGGTCTCAACCCACTGTTTGGGTAGTTCGTTGTGCATCAAAAGCTGACCGATGAGTCACGCCTGTGACCCCAGCTACCTGGGAGGATGAAGCTGAAGGACTGCAAATTCAAGGTCAGCCCGGGCTACTTAGAGTCTTAAAATACAAAAAGTTTTAAAGGACTGGGGATGCAGCTCAGTGGTAGAGCTCTCACTTAGAATGCATGAGGCCCTGAGTTCAAAATCCAGTACTGCAGAAAGAAGGACTAAAGGGAGGGCGAGAGAGGGAGGGAGGGAGGTAACTGGTACAGCAGGCAGTAAGAGCCTCTCCAAGCATGTCCCCTGAGGATGTCCTTCCTGACACACCCACCTCTGGAGGTCGCAGCCTTCCCTTTAGTGTCTGGGCAGCTGTTCACCAGAATACTTTCTAAATACCGGTGAGCTAAGGCCAGAGCTTGTGCAGCAGGCTGTCCTAGGGGCTCAGGATGATGGATAGCACAACCCAACAGGCAGCCAAAGGACCGGCTCACCAAGCAAAGGCCACCTCACCTTTAGTGTGAGACCCCACCAGGGGCACAAGTCCCACCACTGTTCGCACCCAAGGCTACCCAGCTAGGAGGGCAGAACTAAGATTCAAAGTCACATCTACAAGACCTCAGGCCCCCTTTCCACTGGGGAGACCAGGGGAGGTTGCCTTTAAGACAAATCTTGAAGAACTGGCAGGACTTTGAGGAAAATATAAAAAATGCAAGTGATCATCCCTAAGAGGACCTGGCCCGTGTCTGAGGGGCTGGCAAGCCCAGAGCAACGAAACCACTTCTCAACCTAGAAGTCCACCGCAACAGCCCAGAGGCTGCTGTGCTGTGCTGTGCCTGTCCTCACCCCAGGAGCCAGAGGACAGGCCTGGGGACACTCACCTTCCCCGTGGCCATTGCCAAGGTTCCTGCCACTGGGGCTGTAGTAGAAGCCATTATAGAAGGGCAGTCCAGGGACACCAGGCAGCAGGGAAAGCAGGACCAGGAGCAGCAGGTCCATTAAGGCACCCATGGTGGCAGCACCAAGGCGTCCTGGGCAAGGCTGGGGCCCCGAGGTAACCTGGGATGAGGAAGCAAAGGAGTTAGAGAATCCCACTTTGGGGGGCCCGAGTCCCTCTGTCCTGCACTAGCAATCATGTCTTGAGCCCTAGGATTTTGGGCCCTTCCACTTATACTTTGCGCCTGAGGCTGGTGCCTTGCTGACCCCACATCCGCCCCACCTTGCCCCTGCCACCGCTGGGTGCTCCTAGGAGAAGCTCAGTCGTGGGCAGGGCCATGAGGCACAGGCAGGAGATCCCCAGGCCAGGACTGAGGACAGGATAGAGGCTCCGGAAAGACTGACAATGCAGGGATTTCTGAGATGAAAGACAGGCTGGTCCTACAGGGAGAGCCCCCGCAGTGTCCTGGGCCAGGGACAGCACATAGAGTCAGGCGGTCCTGGGCCCAGGACCCTCAGCCAATAGGACACACTCACAGGAGAAGGGGTGGTGGCCGTCAGCATTTCTCTCTGGCTCCCTCTTGCTCGCCTGCCTCTCCCACAGAGGCTGCTGTTCCCTGACTCTGCACCCTACAGTCCAGAAGTCAGTGCTCCATTAGGGTCTTTTTATGGGGACCATTCAGAATGAATTCTGCATCTTGCCAAGACCTAACTGGTAGGGGAGAGGAGAGAAGTATGGATGTCCTCTCCTCAGTGTCAGGCTTGGATGCCTGTTCTTTGTCGGGGGGGGGGGGGGGGGGGGGGGC